TGTTTCATTTTGAGTAAATTTTGGAAAATCTTTTGTTGGGATTTTTTGTTTATTTTGAAATTTCTTGCTAGGGTGTTCAGGGCAATCGGGGCTAGTGACCACATGGAAACCATTGCACAGGGCACATCTCGCTGGGATTTCTGCTTTACCTTTGACGGGACAAAGGTAGCTTTGATGAGATTCTAGGCAACGAACACATCTAGGAGTGTTGTGGCATGCTCTCTGTGTGTGTCCATAGCGCTGGCACCGGAAGCATCCCAAGCAGCACCGGAACGTTCCGAAAACGTTCAGAGTCCGTGTCATACCGTTCTATAACGGTGTTAGGCGTATTTAGAACGTTCTACATAACGTGCTAAAGTGGTGCGTGTAACAACCGTGTATTTAATACGTACATTTTCGACGTACAACAATCGTGTTTTTTGAAACGTTTCCCAGATTGAGTTTAAAATACGTTCGACATAACGTGCTAAAGTTGTTTATGTTAGAACCGTGTTCTTAGGACGTACATTTCAACGTAAAATACTGGTACTTTCCGAAACGTTCTCACATGCTAGAAATACGTTCTAAACGACGTGCTAAAGCTGCGTATTATAACCATGTTCTTAGGCTATTTTCAACGTACAACACTGGTACTTTTCGAAACGTTCTCAACATGTGCTAGAAAATACGTTCTAAACGACGTGCTAAAGCGGTGCGTATATAACCGTGTTCTTAAACGCACATTTCAACGTACAATCCTGGTACATTTCGAAACGTTCTCAACATTACTGGGAAAAACGTTCTAAATTACGTGCTAAAACGGTGCGTATTATAACCGTGTTCTTAGGACGTATATTTCAACGTACAACACTGGTACTTTTCGAAACGTTCTCAACATGTGCTAGAAATACGTTCTAACGACGTGCTAAAGCGGTGCGTATGATAACCGTGTTCCTAAAACGCACATTTCAACGTACCATCCTGGTACATTTCGAAACATTCTCAACATGTACTGGGAAAAACGTTCTAAATTACGTGCTAAAACGGTACGTATTATAAACGTGTTTTTAGGACGTATATTTCAACGTACATTCTGGTACTTTTCGAAACGTTCTCAACATGTGCTAGAAAATACGTTCTAAACGACGTGCTAAAGAGGTGCGTATTATAACCGTGTTCTTAAAATGCACATTTCGACGTACAATCCTGGTGCATTTCGAAACGTTCTCAATATGGACTGGGAAAAACGTTCTAAATTACGTGCTAAAACGGTGCGTATTATAACCGTGTTTTTAGGACGTATATTTCAACGTACAATCTGGTACTTTTCGAAACGTTCTCAACATGTGCTATGAAAAACGTTCTAAACGACGTGCTAAAGAGGTGCGTATTATAACAGTGTTCTCAGAACACATATTTCAACGTACAACACTTATACTTTTGGACGTTCTGATCATGTGCTAAAGTACGTTCTACAGGACGTGGTAAAGCTGTGCGTATTATAACCGTGTTCTTCGGACATGCATTTTAAAGTACAGCACTGGTTTTTTCGAAACATTCCGAGACATACTATAAAGTACGTTCTGCGTGATGTGCTGAAGAAGTGTGTGTTACAACTATATTCTTATAACGTACATTTAGAAATACAATACTGGTATTTTTCAAAACGTTCTCAGCATGTGCTATAGGCCCCCAGCGGCCGAGCGGTAAACTCGCTTGATACTGGTAGTTCGGTCCGAGGTTCGATTCCCGCGAACGGGCTGGCTGCATGGGCGCTTTCGTGGTTTTTCCCATGTGTAACGTGTATACGAGCCAATTTTCCTTAAGAAGCCCTCCAGGAAGGCATCTCTCCTTCCGTGTAGTGCCTAAGAGCGAAGCACGTTATAAAAAAAAAAAAATGTGGTATAAATTACTTTATACATGACACGCTAAAGCTAATTACACCGTGTTTCTTAAGAAGTTCTTTTCAGAGCATCCATTGGTAATTTTCGGATGGCTCACTGCATGCTATCAAGCGCATTCTACATGACGTGCTTGTTACACCTGTATTTTTCTGTACATTTTAATATATAAAACTGCCGTGTTGTACCATGTTCTTCGTTAAAGCATTTGGAGCATGTGCTATAAAGTACATGCTACTCACATTACAATTATAGTACTAATTACCTAGCTTTCAGGAAACCGTCAAATTATTCATTTTCCATAAATACTTTAATATCTTTTATTTTGCCGAAGTATTAGTTATAGGAAACATTTTCATTAAATATGTACTGTAAAGACAGTTCGTAAAGCTTATATTCCAAAAATAGATAAAATAATGTTACTTAGAAACTGTATTCTGCTTATTCAATGTAAGTTATTTAGAATTAAAAAAAAATATTTAAAAGTTCTTGCATATTTTTTCAGATGAAATTATGTCGATTTTTTTTTTTTTTTTTTTTTTTTCATTTCGCATTAATCATTTGTGTTTGCAGTACATTCATGAAACGTGTCATGAACTTTCTACTAGAACAACCATGTGAATAGTATGTAGCTTTCTATGGCAATATTGGTATCTTCCCCATAACATTTGGACATGGGGTAAAAAAACTACATGTTATGCGAAAATGCGTTTCATATTAGAAAGCAAAGTGATTTTAAGTTCTTAATTCTCCCTAAATGGATTATTCCATGGGGTTCCAATACACAAAACGTTCAGATCAAGTGCTTCACCAACGTGTCGGGAACGTTCAAGCAGAACGTTCAAAATGCCGTCTACATGTTACAGTTCTAAGACGGGCAATAACACGTCAAATACTTGTGTTTGTAACACTTTCATGCAACGTGTCATTAACGTTCTAGTACAACGTTTTTGGCACGTTTTACCTGAACGTTCTGAACCACGTCTATGTATTGCAGTTCAATAACGGACAGTAGTACGTCAAAAGTGGTACTACTATCACTTTTTTATAACGTTCTATGAATGTTCTTCTAACGTTCTAACAGAACGTTCCTTTAACGTTCAGGCAGAACGTGGTGAATCACGTCAGTATGTTACAGTTCAATAACGGGTAGTAGAACGTCAAAAAATGGTGTTACTAACAATTTTATAAAACGTCCCTTGAACGTTATATGGAAGCTCCGTTACCTTTTAACAGAACGTTCCTTCAACGTTCTAGCAGAACGTTTCTTTAACGTTCTAGCAGAACGTTTCTTTAACGTTCAGGCAAAACGTTCTGAATTACGTCTGTAAGATGTAGTTCATTAATGGACAATAGAACGTCAAAATGAGGTACTAGTAATAATTTTATATAACGTTCCTAGAACGTTCTTTGAAAGTTTCTATAACGTGCTAGCAGAACGTTCTCTTAACGTTTGGGCAGACGTTCTGAATGTCGTCTATAGATTAAAGGTTTATGACGAGCAATACCACGTCAAATACTTGTACTGTTAACACTTCTGTATAACATGCAAAGAACGTTCCGAATCACGTTTAACTAGAACGTTTTGAGTTACGTCTAACTAGAACGTTCTGAATCCGGTTTATATGTACAGACTCTGAAGGACAACAGTACATGAAATATTTGTGTTTGTAATATTTGCGTCTAATGCGAAACTTAGTTTCCAAATAGTGAATTCATATAATAATTTACATTTCTTTAACGGAAGAGAACACTGCAATTTTCTGGAAAAGACATTATCTGTTTGAAGAGTTGAGCCTGAAATGTTACATTTACAAATATATGTTATGCTTTATATGTGCATCAAAATTCAAATTCTATTTTTTTTTCTTTTTTTTTTTCTATTCTCTTAGTTCATTACATACATGCCATTTATTAATGAAACTTTACACTTTTTCTCTACATTTACATGCAATTCCTCCAATGCAATATTATCTAGACCTTATATTCCCATAGAAGTTTTACACACCATTCTTATTAACTACATATAAAAACAAGATTTGTTACAGTTCTAATGATAGAAATGTATTTTAAGTTTAATAAATTAACCAAGAAATTAAGTTATTGTTCTCACTGGAAGGAAAAGGAATCAGACTGCAAATCACGATTTTTAATATATGGCCAGAATCATTGCAATTTTCAAAATTCTGAAACCTTATTCATGTGATCATATATACACCAAACTATTTTAATGGGAGACTGTATTATATTCTGGACGAAATAATTATTTCTTATTAAATATAATCCTCGGTACTTTTTTGCAGTAAATTAAAAACAAATTGTTTTCTTTCAACACTAATAAGCTCTGATATGCCAGTTTAATAACTGTACTTAAACTTTATATGAGACTACTGCTGTCTAGAGTTTTTGTCATTGCAGTAGACTAAAAGCATCAGGATGATGGGAATTTAAAGTGAATGCTTGGATATTTCTTGTCATTAAAATAAATTTAAAAGTTTGCATTTAAATGTATGCAAATTTTAAAAATAATAAATATTTTTTCTTGTGTTCTGTTTACAAGCAATTTAACTGTACTAAACAGTTCTCTGTTAAAATTACTTCTGTCCATGTAATTTTTTTATAAAGTTAGAAGGCGTATTTTGAAAGTTAATAAACAAATAAAATGACATATATCTTTCACAAATTCATTATTTTGCCATAAATTTGATTTATAAAATTAGTTCAGTGGATGGTCCAGTCAATGGATAAGGTTCTTAACAAGCAATTTTCAGTTAAAATATAATTATTGTCATAATTTAAAATTTGAAGCATTTATTGCAAAAGGTTTTAATTTAATTCAGCTACTAGGAATGCATTAAATTCCCAAAATCTATAAACTGATAGTTTTATATTATTTCATTTCATAAATTTTAAAGCAAAATTAAAAGTATTAAAGGAAATGTAATGAAATTAATTTCCATATTGCATATTCATGTAATAAATTTCTCTTCTAGAATCAAACATTCAAATTCAATGAACTAATTATTTTCATATTCAGTAATACAATGTATAAGATACAATATTTGCTTAAGCTAAGTATCCTCTACCAATCCAAGTCTTCATGAAAGTTAGGAAACAAACTGAACAATTAATAACTTTAATTACAGTATTTTCGTACAAGCTAATACACAAATTTTTTATTCCATTGTTTACAAACTTCCTTCTGTTGTACATTTTCCTTTTTGTTTATGATACTTTTCTCTAAATGAAACACACTTTTCAACCAGTCTTTTATAATATTTTCAATAATATTGCAAGGTACCTCTCTGGTGGCCCGATTTTCTTTGAAAGCACCTAAAAGAATAAAAAAAAATATTTTTTAAACTAAATAATCAAGAAATAATAAATTTTCTCAAACTTTAATAAAAGCGATGCTGTTTCATCCTATGTGGTCGGTTTAATGTAAAAATTATGTTATCTTGAAATAGTACTATTGAATAATGCTTCAATTTGAGATTTCGCCGTTAGAGTTGATTTTAAAAAAATCAAAATTTTAGATAAATTTCAATTTTTCAAAAATTAGATAATTGCAAATTGAACTGTTATTTAGAAAACGGGAACTAAAAATGTAATGGAATTAAGAAAAAGGATTTTTTAACAGATATTTTTTGGTTAAAGATTTTGAGGTTTGCAATACAAATACCTCATTTTTTGGCATTCTCAGATAGCATTATAAACAATAAAAAAATGAAATTTGTTTCCTTGCCAGAAAAGAAACGAAAATGATTATTTAAATCATGAAATGCTGGTCTAGTTAAAATATTTGAAAAGAATGAAATGGTCATAAAATTATGAAATATTACAAACAAAAAAAATGTCGAATTGTGTTTCTTTCAAGTAGCTATTTCCCCATTTAGTTTCTCTAGTGAACAAGGGTAACATGTGCTGCAAAAGATTTTCGATTCTGGAGATTCGTTTTTCCTATTTTCCTTTTATTTCGGCACCGCACTTAAAGGTTCATATGAGTTACAGTCATGGAGTAGAAAAAATTATTTCATTGAAGGGATGGCAACATATATGTTACGAACGAAAATAAGGAGCATGGAAACTGTCACCTTGAAATGCTTATATTAATATAACAGAATACAGTGCAACTATGATAAAAAATTTAACTACATGTGCATATGCATGTAAAGATAAATGTTTTACATATATATATATATATATATACTCTTTTAAAATAATTCTACTTTAATTAAACTTAGGAGATAATATAATCAATTAATCAATATTGTTTAGGAAATAAATTATTATATATATATATATATATGTGTGTGTGTGTGTATGTATGTACACACTATATATGTATTTTAATACGAATGTTAAGGAAATTAAATAGAACTTTGACTCACAAGCAAAAATATCTTACAATGACTCCCTAAATATTTTTAAAATTTATTATACATATAATAAGTATAAATATAAAATTGAGAAATTTGATTTGAAATGTTATTTGCTATTTACATTTTGCATATATGAATACATTTCAGTAATCAGAATAATTTTTATCCTAGTGTTCCATTCAAATTAAAATTTAATTTAATATGAGAGATTTACAATTAATTTAAAATCAATTTAAGGGATTTCTTTTTATTTAGCTATAATTTAATTTAGTAGGAGGTAATTCTGTTTTGTTTCTTTTTGTCTTTAATTTATCATCCGAAGAATTAACATTCTAATACATGTATATTAATATATACATGTATCAGAATGTTAATGGCCTCTTTCGCTTCTGTTTTGGTGTTTCAAAGTCTGAACCTGAATCTAAAATTCAATGTCTTTAAAGCCGTTTTTGGACTTAAATTCAACTGTAGCATAATTAGCTACAAAAATGCATACATTTTTCATTAGATACAGTCTCATCTTTCAACTCAACAGCATATTTATTGTTTAGAATCGTTAATCACTTTAACATTTCTTATTGAAAACTCAAATCTTATTATTGAAAATTATATTTTTATTCAGATTTGTAAATAAAATATATAGATAGGCGTTTTTAAATTAAATTTAAACACAGTGTTAACATTCTGGAGCCTGATTCATGACTTCACTAAATGGAATTGAATTTGACATTTATATGGATCCGCAGGCTAAAATCTCTCGTTCAGTCTTCCTTTGAGCATCCATTATTTTATATATGGGTAAGTTTTTAAAGAGGTTGTATTAAAATTCACAAACTAGCAAAGTATATTGAATATTAGAGTCTTACTATGAACCATAATTAAGAATGTAGATATGATTTATTTCGGAGCGAAACTATTAAAACATAAGCTGATATAATATGAGCACAATTAATTAGAGAGAATAAGGACAAATAATATTTGTTTAGAAAAATTAAAGTATGCTTAATACATTTTCCTACGCATCAAAACATTTTTTTAAAATTTCAATGTTTCAATTCAGAAAACATTATTTCAATTTTATGCTCTCGAAAAACTTCCTACCAATTAAATTAATATGGGAAAACAGACGTAAAAATCATTTGTAGAATACTTACAATATTCTCTCAGGATAACAATATAAAAATTCTCTCAGGATGTATCTGGTTCTCTGTGTTCCAGAATTGCTCTTTTCATGTGACTTCTTTCTTTATACGAAGGCCAGTTACATGTCCCTTTTTATCATCTGACACTCATTTGCTTGGACGACAGCCACTTCATCGGTCATTAGCAAATGTACAACGCTAAATGCCATTTTCTGTGAATGTAATGAAATAAATCCGTAAATGTTCTGAGACTGAATTGAAGCAATCTTACTTTATATGTAGTTAATTATCAACATTAAAAAGCTTGTCTTATACGAACTCAAACCTTCCTGACATTCTGGGAAAATTCCTCCCTGACTTTCTGAATATATTTTGTATTTTCCATGGCAGTCTAAAATTTTCTAGGTGAGGGAAACTCTGTTAGTACACCTGATTAAAAACATAATGGATAACAAACATAATAATCCCTATATGCCACTAGCATATATATACAGTTAACAGATTCCACTGATGTAGATTCTAAATTTATTGATAGTTCTGAAATTATAATGACACCTAAATTTAGAGAACTGAAAGGATGACTAAAATTCTTTTTGTTTATTAAATCTGTAAAAAAAACAATTTCTTTTTCCGATGAATTTTCTAACAGATATTTGATTATTAGAACTGATTTGTCTATAAATAAACAAACAATTATCACCAGTGTCAGCAGATATCTTAAATTCTGAGAGTTGAAACGATATATTTTTGCTAATTTCACTTATTGATTCCTTTTCTTCGTCAAAACGTGTTTGTTAAGCATATCTGCGTGCAAGCTGCTGCAAAGGTTTTGAAAGAGCACAAAGCATATTTTTCAGTTCCCCCAAAAAGTTCAAATGTTTTCAACAAAAAGTGTCAAGAGGCCCAAATATTTGAACATCATTTATTAAATGAATCAAAGATAGAACATTATACATTATTAAATAAATTATTAAATAAATATTTTTCCATGTAATCGAATACTGTGTTTAACAAAAGCTCTTAAATCATTTTCTGCAAATGCATCATTAGAGAAAGCAATATCTGAAGGCTTTATTAAAATTAAAAATTTCCACATGTAGTAAAAGAAAGTTGTTGTACATAGCAGATGGTAAAATTGAACTCATAACAACAGGCCTAGTGTATAAAAGAAATAAATGAAACTTTGTTGCCTTCCAACTCTGTATTTCTTAAAGCATTCTAGGTTTACGACTAAATTCGCTTGGTACGTAATGTCTTAGACCAATGTGAGATGAAGATATTTCATTTACATCGCTCCAGTGCAGTTCCAGTGATTTATTGAAAGTTCAAATTTTTACTTATTTATTTGTTTATTTATTTATTGCCGCTTTAGCTGGAGAACTTAAACTGCTCTAAAATAGTTATCAAAAAGTTAAAAAAACTAGCCAAAATTTCAGTTTTTAACTCTAAATAATAAAAAATGTCTATTTCATTGCTTGTGTAAATATAAGATATCTAATTCTCTTAGTGTTTTAATTTTTCTTTACAATTTAATGAAAACAGTACGTGCATAAAATACCAGTACTACATTTGAATAGTATAAAAATTGTATTTCTAAAGCCATAAACACAATCGTATATGCATGCAGATCATAGTTTCCAGCCTTGGAAAATCTTAAAAGACGGGAGATTTTCTTAAAGACGGGTTTGCTCTAGAAAAATGAAAGGTTTTTCACTCTGCGAGGTTATACCATTTCAAAGAAATTCCAAACTCGCTTTGATTCAGTTTATGATGCATGATGGTTCAGGTTACTATAGTACTTGTAATTCAATTTTGATGTAAGATGCATTAGCATTTTATTAGATAGTCTAAAATTTATGCTCTTTACTAATTTCATTTTTTTTTTATTTCCTCGCTTTTTTATGCTGAGGAAATCTTCAGTAGTGAAGCAAAGCTTTTATTTATCAAAGTATTTTTAAATATACGATGCATGTGAAATTAATAATTAACATACATAATAACACTAGATAAAATTAGTAATATGCCAGGTACTAAAGTAAACAAAATTAAACACGAAAATTAACTAATTAAACATTGCCTAAATCTTCACATAAAAATCTACTGATGTCTACAGCAGATTAAAACAACTCAGATTAAACGAAATCCGATAAGAAAAATTTATTAAGGTCAATAAAATTAATAAAAAATACAGTTTTGTGGAATAAAGTTTAACAAGAAAAATTATTATGAAAATCATTACAGGTGGACGAATACAATTCGCCTAATTAAAAATTTCATTATTTTGATAAATTTCTTTTTTTTTTTATGGGAAAAATTTTCTTTAGTAAAGATTTAAATTTCGAGACTTTAAAATCTCGAGATTTGGTAATTTACTTGGAGATGTGATGAAAAACTGGGACTGAGTTGAAAACTTGAGTTGGCAGTTATAAGTTTGAGATCAACATGATTATAGCATTTGGAAGATTTTAGACATATACAAAACAATTTTATCAAACTTTCATTATTAAAAATACGATTAAAAATGTGAAAATATGCATACTTACACTTTTAGTAGAGCGGATAAAAAACAAAGACATCAATACTTCCCTTCGATCTGGAATAATTTTAGCGGTGTTCTTGATGACCTCAAACCCGGTCTTTCGAATCGTTCTTCTTTAAGAATGACTGAGGTCAGAGTCAGCCGGACGTCAGTAATTTCAGGATTTGATTGGTTACATACGTTTTTTTTGGACCGCAGGGCATACTTTGAGGGAGAGTACTTTGAGGGAAAAAGTGATTTCGTCCTTGAGAGAAATAGTGCTGTGGGACAACATATGGAGAAGCGGAAAGAGCTCCAGCCTAAAGTCTACTGTGTCCAGATCCATAAGTCAAGTGAGATGATAAAAAAGTAAACGTACAAAAAACATTTTGTTTTGATTAATCCATCGACCAAAAATTAAAAATGTTTTACTAGGCACTTTACAATTTACAACACATTCACTGCAGAGACTTGGCTTTTATAGTGTTTTTATACGGTAATAGTTTAATAGTTAATCAAAAACGGAGGTGTTTAATTTTAAAATTTTTCATTAAGTCGAGAATTTAACTAGCAGCTTTCCTTGCAAGTGATGTAAGTTCCACACATTGCAAAAGTTACTTTAATTTCAAAATTTAATCAGATAATTATGGCAGAAAACCAACATATTTTCGTATTCTCGTCGACATCAACAAATGTTTTTATAATTTTAGAAAAATTATCATAGAAAAATCAACGTACCATAGCACGACTATGATGAAATATTTTTATATCTGATAGTAAACAAAAAAAAAGTATATTCGGAAATTTGAAATTTAAATCCATTAACACAGAAATATTAGAGTGTCCTTTTCCGAGTTTAATTTAATTTATTTATTTATTTAATTTATTTGTTCGTGTGTGTTTTTGAATTCTGCATCTGAATGCTTCACGAGAAAGCATCCTTTTTCTTAGCTTTCTTTTTAAATGCATTGTGAAATATTAAAAAGCATACATCTTTATTTATTACATCATAATGATATTTAAAGTAACATTAGTATTTCAAAGAATCCATAAATGCACATACGTATTTGATTTATATATATTAAACTATTCTTAAGAGACATTTATGAATATCATACTTAAACATATAAAAAAAGATACCCTTCATGAACATACACTGTCCATGTGACACGTTTTAATGTGCTCTACTACGTAAACTTTTATACTTTGTTGTTGTTGTCGTGTCCATATGACATGGAACAATGGTTGCCAGAGCTTATTCCGAAGAGAGCTTGGACTTCTATTTTCCACCCTCAATTTTGAGGGAGAGCTTCCCGGGGATACCCCACCCCTCTCCCCTTCCACCAATCCACACGAAATGACTTTCGGCTCGCTGCATATTTAGAGTGCCGCCATGCCGCACCGACATTATTCATTTACAAACGTTCATGTCTTCTCCGGGCTCGGTATCGTAGTAGGCTCCCCTAACCACTATACCGTCTGGGGGACACTTTTATACTTTCTTTACACGTAATGGAAACTGTTACTAATACCGGTAACTGACGTGCGATTATACGGATAAAAGGTGTAACAGATAGGCATAATTCAGAACGTTCTTGTAAAACGTTACTGACACCACCGTGAATAACGCCTGCTTTACATTTTCGGAACATGATCCTGTTATTTGTGTCATTGGTTACTATTTTTGAGTCGATTATATAAGTAACAGAATAGCAGGATCAGTTACGGTATCGTAGCATCATTAGGTTAAATCGATCCAGGAAACATGAAACACGTGAGGAAAAGAAGTCTTATATACTTTCTCTTTTAAGGGTGACTAGGTATGAGGTGGCTCAGTCGAAAAATCCTGGTAGTGACGAATTGTTGTCTACCATCTTTTATTTCGGGCGCCCCTTGTAAAGCTTTTTAGAACTCACGAAACAAGAAATCCGCAGTACTCTCACCAGGATTCGAATTCCGAATCCTCCGAATACGTATTAGCGTGCTTGCAGTTACACTACGATGGTATGCGGAAAGAAGGGCGAAAAAATCTTATAATGTAAACAGAATAGCAGGAAAAACTGTTCTCCACAATTAGGTAAAACATATCGTATCGTTAGGGTCGGTTTAAGTAATTTTGGTAGTCCTCGCAAGCTGGATCATAGGGCCCCTTAACGGGGTTTCTCTTTTAAATTGCAATTTCTATAGTATGTTTAGATTATCACCTAATTTATTACCCTTCACCCTATTATTCTGAAATTAAAAATTGAAGTTACTTATGAAATATATTTTGTGCATCAACAATTTTCAAAATTACGTTGTTTTCCATAGCCAAATAGAATAGAAGCATAGTAAAAGAACTCTTCAAATGCGGCACTTTCTTCCTGTAAATTGCGATTTCTAATTGCAAACCTTTCTGCTGAATTATTTTATTAACTTTATTGCAATGAAAATAAGTATTAGACCAGATCGTAAGAGATAAATAAAATCTAAACACTGCAATTTATTTAACTAGATGTCTCACAGAAACATATGGAATTTCTTTTAAAATTTTCCTTAAAATATTTTAAAATATATATTATATTTTTAAGTTCTTACTTACCAGTTCTAAAGAAGCATTTATAAGACTGACGAGTCGGAAGTCTTTCTCGAGTGTTTTGCTGGCTAGGAAAGAGAGGTGAGAGTCCCTCGGAGTGTTCTCCATCAAAACTGCGATGAAATTTTTCCCTTTCTCACGGCGGAAGGTCGGTCGCACTCACAGCAAAGTTCTCGATGATGGAATGACTAAATAACTGATGAAGACTGGCCATTCCTAAGAAT